TGATCGAGCATTTTCAATATTCAGAAATTATATCAAACACAATGTTGATTGAAATGCTTTTCTTTCTTTTCAATCATGTTTCTTTGTTTTTCTATCATGGTATCAGAGCAGGAAGTTCCTGTTTCTGATCCGTTTTTTATTTTATTTTCCTTTTTAAAACATTAATCATCATGTCTGAGATTGAGACAAACTCATCTCAATCTACACCACCTTCAATTACACCATTGCAAGTTATATATCCTCAAAATCAACTTCTGACAACTAAACTTGATGAGAGCAATTACCTTATTTGGAAGCAACAAGCTCTCATTGCAATCAGAGGTTATGGTTTAGAACATTTTATCATTGGAGGACAAGAACCACTCAAGTTTGCTGAAGAAGAAGGTTCTCTTAATCTCAGTCCAGAATATGTTTCTTATCAAAGGCAAGATCAAATTTTAGCATCATGGCTCCTCTCTTCTCTCTCAGAAAGTCTTTTAGTGCAAATGGTTGGTTTGCAAACCTCAAAGGAGATCTGGGATGCATTATCTACAAACTTCACAAGTCAATCTTTGGCAAAGCAAATGCAGTATAAACTTCAACTGCAGACAATGAAGAAAGGTAGTTTATGCATGAGAGACTTCCTTAATAAGATGAAAAGTTGTTTTGATATGCTAGCCTCAGTTGGAGCAAAAGTATCTGAGAAGGATCAAATTCTTCATATTATCTCAGCCTTAGGAAACGAGTATGATCCTGTGATGATAACAGTAACATCAAGAATGGATACATGGACTGTGATAGATGTTCAAGCATTACTATTGAGCTATGAATCCAGATTGGAAGCAAGTGGAGTCATTAGTAATGCTGCGCCTGGAAACATCAATGCAGATGGATCTCAACCTTCTCTTAATTTGATCCAGAATCAACAGAGAGGCAACTTTAATAATAATCAAGGTTCTACAAGAGGAAGAGCATATTTAAATAGAGGAAGAGGAGGAAGATTTAGAGGTGGATACAAAGGAAGAGGTGGTCGATTTCAAGGACCAAAACCCATATGCCAAGTGTGTTGGATAGCTGGACACACAGCAGATAAGTGCTGGCATAGGTTTGACTCAAATTTTTCTCCTCAAAGTCAGCAGCAAAGTGGATCTTCTTCTTCTAACAGTTCACAATTATCTTCTACTGGTTTTCAAGGGGGTTTTTCAAGAAATCCTACATTACACATGGCTCAACTTCCTTCACCTACAAGTTATCAACCAGACAGCAATGTGGAATCTCTCTGGTATCCAGACTCAGGAGCTACAAACCATGTGTCAAATGACTTAAACAATCTTACAAGTGCTTCTGAGTATCAAGGGAGCAATAGACTTCATATGGGTAATGGTGTTGGTGAGTATATTTCTCATATTGGCAAAGCTCATTTAAAATCATCATCCTGTTCAAAAACCTTTATCCTCAATAAACTTCTTCATGTCCCATCTATTACCAAAAACTTACTTAGTGTTTCTGAATTTGCACATGATAATAAGGTGTACTTTGAGTTTCACTCTGATTCCTGTTTTGTTAAGGATCAACATTCTCATCAAGTTCTGCTCAAGGGAATCCTTAAGGAAGGCCTCTATCAGTTCAATCTTTCACCTCAAAAAGGAAAAACCACAGAATCCTTCATTTCCAGTTCAAATGACAAACCTCTGATCAGTTCTAGTTTCAATGTAACTTTACATTCTAAAAAGTGTGATCTTAATCTTTGGCATAAAAGGCTTGGACATACAGCCTATGATGTTGTTGTAAAAGCACTTGAAGATTGTAATGTTATTTTTGATCAAAAGGCTGTGAATGAAATATGTTCTTCATGTCTTCTTGCAAAGGCTCACAGATTACCTTATAACCTTTCTGATTCTTTGTGTGATAATCCTTTAGAACTTGTGCATTCTGATTTATGGGGGCCTTCACCAGTAAAATCAAGAAATGGATACTACTATTATGTGACTTTTATTGATCATTATAGTAGGTTTACTTGGTTATATCTTCTTAAGGCAAAATCTGATACATATCAGGCTTTTATTCATTTTAAGAAGTTAGCTGAAAATCAGTTGAACAGATCTATTAAGGTTGTTCACACAGACTGGGGTGGTGAATTCAGGTCTCTAACCAAATTCTTTCTTGAACATGGGATTGAACATAAACTTTCTTGTCCTTACACTCCACAGCAGAATGGAATAGCAGAAAGAAAACATAGGCATGTGGTTGAGATGGGTCTTTCATTACTTGCTGAATCTTCCTTACCTTTATCTTTCTGGGATGATGCCTTTGTAACTGCTTGTTATATCATCAATAGAGTTCCTGCAAAAGGTTTATCCTACAAAAGTCCTCTTGAGATGTTATATGGTCATAAAGCTAATCTTCTCATGCTTAAAACCTTTGGTTGCCTTTGCTATCCTTATATCAGGCCTTACAATAAGCATAAGTTGCAATTTAGATCAGATAAAGGAGTGTTTATTGGCTACAGTCCTAGTCATAAGGGATATAAGGTTTTGTTAAGTTCAGGGAAGGTTATCATTAGCAGAGATGTGATCTTTGATGAACACCAGTTCCCATTCAAACAGAAAATTGAATCCTCTTCTCAGCCCACTACATCCTATAAATTTCCAAATGTTGCTCCATGTGTTATAGATTTTTCACATATCTATCACAAGACTGCTGTTTTATCCTCAAAATCAAACTCTCAGCATCAAAATACTCCTTCTCCTTCATCATCTCACCAGACTCATAATACACCTACTTCCACACATTCACAAAATCCAGATACCACACTACTTATACCAAATGAGCTGCCAATTTTGAGAAGTGATACTCATGAACATAATATTCATATTGATGAACCTAATGCAGATAATTTGTCTATACACCCTATGATTACCAGGTCCAAGAGAGGAATCTTCAAGCCTAAATTATACAGCAGCATCTTAAGGGATCAAGAACCAAGAAATCTTACAGAAGCTTTAAATGATGCAAACTGGAAAAAGGCTATGCAAGATGAATATGGTGCCTTGATTAATAACAGGACATGGAGTCTTGTTCATTTACCTCAGGGATATAATGTTGTTGGCAGTAAATGGGTCTACAAACTCAAGAGAAATCCAGACAACTCAATTGCAAAATACAAGTCAAGACTTGTAGCTCAAGGTTATTCTCAAACTGCTGGATTTGATTTCAAGGAAACATTTAGTCCAGTTATTAAGCCAACAACCATCAGAGTGATACTTACAATTGCTGTTAATTTTGGATGGAAAATAAGGCAACTTGATGTAAGTAATGCATTCCTACATGGGGATTTACAGGAAAGTGTCTATATGAGACAACCACCAGGTTTTGAAGTTAAGTCCCAAACCGATAGACCTTTGGTATGCAAACTACACAAGGCTATCTATGGTCTTAAACAAGCTGCAAGAGCTTGGTTCAGTAAGGTTAAGACAGTGGTTC